CCAGTGTAAACTGCAGGACCAGAACCAGTGGAGAGTCCTGGACCAGAACCAGTGTAAACTGCAGGACCAGAACCAGTGTAAACTGCAGGACCAGAACCAGTGTAAACTGCAGGACCAGAACCAGTGTAAACTGCAGGACCAGAACCAGTGTAAACTGCAGGACCAGAACCAGTGTAAACTGCAGGACCAGAACCAGTGTAAACTGCAGGACCAGAACCAGTGTAAACTGCAGGACCAGAACCAGTGTAAACTGCAGGACCAGAACCAGTGTAAACTACAGGACCAGAACCAGTGTAAACTGCAGGACCAGAACCAGTGTAAACTGCAGGACCAGAACCAGTGTAAACTGCAGGACCAGTGTTGGAGCTACTGCTCTGGACCAGATGTGGAGAATTGAAGACTTGTCTGACTTGGTTCTGGGGAYAGCTGCCAGATTTGATCARTCTGACACTTGGTGGTTCAGGACAAGCTCCACATGCGTGCAAAGAAGTAGTTTTTAAAATTGTGTATTGAAATAATTTTGTAACCTGTCTCTGCTTTAAGCTAGTCTTCATTTTGACATGTGAAGAGCTTTAACATGTCTCATCTGTGCAGAGGTGTGCATGGTGCTGCTGCCCTCTGCTGGGAAAATTTGAACTTTTCTTTAAAGTAACATGAATGAACTGGATGACTGCAGTTACAAAGGATGGCTGAATATTTAAAAACTTATAAACTGTTGTACCTGAGCCTTGTTTACTGACAGTCATGTGATCCAATGTGGGTTTTACCCTAAACATTTACTTCACCTTGCTGACAACTGAGGATCTGTTGGTCTTCTTCAGCTCAGATGACTCTCTGATGTCTTCATTTAGTGATCACATGTAAAGCTGTTTTTTTTCTTCAATGGTTCGGCTGAGAGGAATTCAAAATATCTGTTCAAGGGAAAAGTGAACACTGATGGGATATCTAAGCCAATACTACTTCCTAGAGAGGGTGAATGTGGAAACAACTTGTAAACACAAGGCTTTGTGTATTTATCTGAAAAAGTTTACAACAGAATAATTAAGTCTAAAACCAGGTGAGGATTCTTGAGGGGTGGTGGATAAAACTAAGCACTGGTGTAAAAATGAATAGTTTAAAGAATCGTGTCACTGGTCCTAATGGTAAAATACTAGTGAACAACTATGACTTGATTTAATAGAGGAGATGGTGGAACATGTGAATAATGCATGTAAAAATTCTGATGAATAGAATTTAAGTATAAAACCAGCAAACTTCTGTGATACAATTAGTTAAGTTAAATTATGAAAAGTGATAAAAAGGATGAATGGAATGAGAAAACCATATAGAAACACAATAATAAACACAAATGGTAAATGGACTGTACTTATATAGCTCCTTTCTATTCATTTACYCATTCATACAGCTAACATGTACAATCATCTATGGAGTCTAATCAGTACCAATCACTTTCAAACACTGATGGGACACATCAGAGGCATTAGGGCTGAAGTGCCTTGCCCAAGGACACAGCAACTGAGACAGCTGGAACGGGGGTTGAACCGGTGACCTACCAGGACAACTCCCCCAACCACTTAGTCTTCAGTGTCAGTAATGAGGCCATGAAATGAGATCAGCTTTATGAATGAATGGAAAATGGATGAAGGATCTTAACTCAATACAAACAGATCAATGCCTGCATGTAAACAAACTTTAATTATAAAATGAAACAAATGTTTCTTATTGAAGTTTTTAGAATGGTGTAGTTGATTCTATGTACTTTCTGTGACTCTGAAGAATTTTTCTTTAGGTTTAATAATTATAAGAAGATTCTACAGACCGGAATGTGGTTCATCAAGACTTGTGTCTTGAAGGACTTGTGTCCTGAAGGACTTGTGTCCTGAAGGACTTGTGTCTTGAAGGACTTGTGTCCTGAAGGACTTGTGTCTTGTCCAGGGATGTTCTCAGCTCTCACAGTGACTTCCTGGAGAGAGGCACCAGCTTTCTCTGACCTGGACAGGAAAAAAATGGGTAAAAGAACAAGGGTGGATGGATAGAGACAAGTTGGAATAATACCAGAAGGGTCTGCGTATATGATAATCAAAGTATGATTTAATTGTGAGCAACAAACAAACAGAACTGAATCAGGAAGTTCTGCACGCTTGCTACTGGCGCGTCAGCAGAAGTCAGTCAATGATATACATCATGTTAACACCATGTGACAGCTTACAACCAATCACAGATTGTCAAATGTATAGTCCAGCCAATCACAGACTCCCACCAGTCCGTTGTGGAGTCCCGTTGTCCAGACAACGAGAGCGTAATGAGCTATCAGAAAGATACAGGATGGACAGTGTCAAGGGGAAACAGATATAAATAATTAGACCATGACAGGCCTCATGCAAGAACCGTTGGTACACAGATCTGTTCTTAAGTTGTGCGTACGAGTGATTTAGGAG